AATGAACATTTAATTTTTATGGGCTTTTTTCTGTCAATCTTGTTATTTGTAGAGTTATACATAGTGTCAGAAATTAGAGTTATTTAATTCAGGCCAATTATTTCTCCTATAATGTGCCTTTTTAATATTGAAATTGGTATTTTTAATCCTTTGTACACTGTGTAGTCAAGAAAGTAAAACAACTGCTGACTGATACTAAAAGCAAAAATTACCCTCCCTCATGCTTTCCAATCAGTTATATCAGATTGTTCAATGTCAAGTAAATTATCAGCAAATTCTGACATTCTTGTCAATGTATTAAAACATCATTTCTGAAACTCATCATGAATTAAAATAGACCAGTTAGCTACAGTCCAATTTTAAGATACTAATACCCTCTAATTTAAATGTTTAGCTAGTAAACAAAGTGCTTTGCAAAAGAATTTCTAAAATACATATTTTTTTTCATACTTGTACAAATCTCTCTCTCTCCCCACCCCCCATACTGGCAATTGAGACGTATCTTTCCACTTTTTAAAGTTTTTTAGCTTTGACAAAACATCTCTATCATATTGAAACCAGCGAAGGCTGTTTTTCCCTCTAAAATATCTATAAAAAAAACCTGAAGAAGATTCCTCTTATATGTTGAACATTCATTTAAGAGGTTTAAGTAAACATTAAATGTATTGAAACATTGGCCTTCCAATCTCAACCCTGGAAGACAAAATGATGGGCTATATATAGTAGTGTCACTCTATTACTGATTGAGATTGGACCAGTAGAAACAAGAAACAAAATGAGGCAAAGTTTCATTATGCAGACGTTGGTTTACTTAAATAATAGTCAGAAATATGATGAGCTGCCTCTACCAATTGCATAAAATAAAGTCCAAATAAATGAGTGTAAGTAGACAGTTCTCTAAACAAGATAAAAAATAATTTTCTTCCAATAAACAGAATTGTTTTCAAAATAGTTTGACTAGATGACTATTTCCTAATCTCATATTTACAACAGTTGTGTTAATCATAACACAATTTGCAGTTACCCCTGTTTTCTATTATGGATTTTTTGTTTATAGATAGTCCTCGACTTACAACCACAATTGAGCCCAAAATTACTACTAAGACATTTGTTAAGTGAGTTTTGTCCCATTTTACGATTTTTCTTGCCACAATTAAGTGAATCACTGCAGTTGTTAAATTAGTAACATGATTATTAAGTGAATCTGACTTGCCCATTGACTTTGCTTGTCAGAAAGTTACAAAAGGATCACATGACCCCAGTCACTGCAACCTTCATAAATATGAGTCAGTTGTCATACGTCTGAATTTTCATCATATGACCATGGGGATGCTGATATAGTCATAAGTGTGAAAAACAGTCATAAGTCACTTTTTTCAGTGCTGTTGCAACTTTGAATGGTCACTAATGAACTGTTGTAAATTAAGGACTACCGTATTTAAATTTATGTCCACCGTTTCTCTGGGAGCTCACAATGGAATACAGAACACTTCTTCTCCAGTTGTTTTCTTAATCTTGTTAAATAAATTAGGCTGAGAGAAAGTGAGTAGACTTAGTAACCCACTAAGCCTCTATGATTAGTAACCTGAATCTGGATCTTTCCAATCAAAGGTCAGACACAGTCACTTTTTTCATAAAATTGTCCTGGCAAGTTTTTGTTTGTGATGTCAACAGAAGATATTTTTATCAGCTGTGCAAAATCCTTCAGTTAATATATACAGTATATTAAAAATCTCTCTCTCTCTCTCTCCTCTCCCTCCCTCTCTCCCTCTTTTGCTTAGACAAATAAGAATTACATAGTGAATTGAAATCAGTGATGCACTGGATATTTATTGGTATCAGTTATTGCTCAGAATAATACAGATACTGCTTATGAAAATTTATCAGTCTGCAAAAGTAGACTACATTGAGTTACCTTGTTCCTAAGTAAGCAATATAGAATTTATAACCCACATTAAAACACATATGCTATATAATTATATAATTAAATAGAAGAGCTATTTTTTCCAAAATAAGCAATAGACCTCAAACATTTCTACACAAGAAAAACTTTGCCCTATCTGTTGGTGAAAATAGATAGGCTCCCAGATATTTCTCTGTTCTTCCTGCAATATGATACACCAAGTCAACATCTTAATGCCTTAGTCACTTGATCAAAATTCAGATGCTTGGCAACTGACTCATATTTATGACGGTTGCAGTGTCTCCTTTTGTGACCTTCTGGCAAGTAAAATCAATGGGGAACCCAGATTCACTTAAAAACCATGTTATTAATTTAACTACTACAGGTCATAAAATGGGGCAAAACTCACTTAACAAATGCCTCACTTTGTAGCAGTATTTTTGGGCTTAATTGTGGTTATTAATTGAGACTACCTATAAACAAAAATTCCATAATAATGGAAAACAGGTATGTGCAAATTGTGTTATAATTAACACAACTGTTGTAAATATGAGATTAGAAAATAGTCATCTCGTCAAGATGACTAATTAACTTAATATGTCAACTTATGTTGATATGGTCATAACCTGTATATTACTAGTTGCCGTTCTTAATGAGGGTATGTAGCTTTTAAAAAAAACTTAGATTTTTTTTAAAAAAATAGAAAAATAAAAACCAAGAAAAACTAATATTTAAGATAAAAAAGGAAAAGCAAAGCTAAAAGTGCAGACAAAAAAGGAAAGAAAAAGAAATACAAAGAAATGACTTACATTTTTTTACAACCAATATAAATTTTAAATGATCTCTTATTCAAAGGTTAAAACATATCTGGGGTGTAGTTTCTACAACATTGCCTTTGAATACATTGAGAAATAACAGTACAGATCCATATAGTCATGTAGGAAAAGATCTTAATAAATTACCCATATGTATGTTGTTGTGGTATTAAATTAGCTTTACAGAATGCTACTGATGTATATTTATCTTTTAGAAATGTAAATGATTTTCTATATTTAACCAAATTCATTAAAATGCTATGATTGTTCCTTTGTAAGTCTCTCTGGTATTATTTATACATTGTCATTAATGTATAATGACATTAATGGTATGCACTTCAATAAATAAAAATAACAGATCACTCGTCTGAGAAAACTATCGTTGTGAAATACTGCAAGAGAACAACTGACAGAAGGCACAGGTAGTCCTCGACTTACAACCATTCATTTATTGACATTTAAAGTTACAACAGCACTGAAAGAAGTGACTTACAGCCTTTTTTTCACAGTTTACAACCATTGCAGGTTCCCCATGGTCACATGATCAAAATTCAGATGTTTGACAACTGGTTCATATTTATGACGGTTGCAATGTTCCAGGGTCATATGATCTGTGATCACCTTTTGCGAACTTCTGAAAAACAGTCAATGGGGAACCAAGATTCACTTAACAACCATGTTACTAACTTAACTGTGATAAGAAAGGTCATAAAGTGGGGCAAAAATCACTTAACTGTCTCACTAAGCAACATAAATTCTGGGCTCAATTGTCGTAAATCGAGGACTAGTTGTATATAACAATTATCAAGATGTGTAAGGCTTTATTTCATTGGGGGTGATAATTGTATGACTAAATACAGACTTTATGTAATTTGCTTTATACACAGAAGTAGTTAATGTCTGTTAATATCTATGGTTATCTTTAGCATAATTTAATTTTTAAAGGAATAGTTACATTCATGAAAGAAAAAGATACTTTTAATTATCTCAGAAAAAATCTTCAGAGTTCCTTGTTCTTTCTCCAATTGCACCCACTGTCTTAATATTATCTGATGTTTCTTTGTTCTTTACTAAAATTCATGAAAGGTTCTCAGAATCCCTACTCTGGTTAACTGATCCCATGTAGGGGCAGATTTAATTCCTATTGAATCTGCTTAGTGGGAGGCCAAACCCATGCAAATAGAGAGATTCCCCATAGGGCTAATGTTAGAGGATAAATTAGATTGTTTCCAGAACAGGATCTTCCAGGAAAAGATAGCCTCTGTTAGTTGTGAGCATAAAACAATGTGTGGATGATTTACTATATTATCAAAGATGCTTTTGGTGTGAAAGATTCTTTTCCTTAGCAAGGCCCATCAGACACATCTATAACTGTTTTGCAGAGGAATGATCTTTTCATTAGCTAGTATTGTTAATTTGTTTGGTTTTTTTATTGTGCAAAAGTACGATATTTTGCCATTGTAAATGGGACTCAATGTACCGTGTTATTAATCTGATTGAAGAGTAATCCTTATTGTAATTACTTTATACAGGCACAGTATAATCCAAAATCATAAAATTACCAAAGCTAAATATGGAATAGCATTTTTCAGCAAAGGCTGTTTTCTCAATCGTCTCATATCAAAATAGTTCATTAGAACTCTTGATTTAGAAAGCTTTATAAAGATAGCTCAGCTTTAAGTAAAGAGTGCTGTCTTCAGAAAGAAGGAATAGAATTAGGGAAGCAGGAAATGTTTGTTGGAGAAGCTGGGTTGGAAAAGAAGTCGGGAAAACACAAAAGGTCAATGCAAGGAACTGGGAGAGAAGGAGCTGGATGAATGAATGCTTGCTGGGGAAGGCTGAAGCTTCCTAGGGTATGGCAAGCAGGCTTAGAGCCACGCGATTCAGGGACTGCGAAGCAGGGTGCAGGGCAGTCAAAAGAGCATAGCTTGGGCAGGAGATTAGTGGGTAGGGGAGTTGAAGCACCCCTGTAGTTGTAAGTGCAGACGAGGTGCCAAGTGCCACATTTTGATCACATGATCACAAGATGCTTCATCAGCCATAACTAAGTCCATTTTTACAGCATCATTTTAATGTTGAACTGTCACTGAACAAATGGTTATAAGCCAAGGACTATCTGTATTTTGTTATTTCAATTACATTTTTCTTAATAAGGGAATTGGAGAAATTATTAATTCTAAAACTCCAGAGTTGTGTGTTCGTTTAATTAAAAATATTTCATGAAAAGTTTAATGAAAAAGCTGCATACTGTATTTGTTTCATGAGGATATTTCTCTCTTCAGGGCTTTTATATTACATTACTTTTTCTCATGAATATCCAAAGCTGCTGAAAGGAAAATTGACCTCCTATTGACTGAAATGGGGATGTTCTGGCCACTGATTATTGAATTGCGACAATATTTAAATATGAATCGGTAAGTAATATTTATTGCCTTAAATTATGTTTCTGTCTGGCCTATACTTTTTCTCCTTGAAAAAGCATATGCCACATTTCAACCTGAAGAAGACAGAACTCCTGTCTTATCACTAAGCACAGAGGAAAGTACTTTCAGCAGTACTCATGAAACTAATAAATCATTATTGTATGTGAAGCTTCTTTTGTTGCAGTTACTTACATTTCATTCCCATTATTATTGATATAATGCATAAATTGTTACATCCTGCTCATTAATATGTCCTATGTTTTTTATTATGTTACTGACAATTTGTGTACCATATTTTGTAGGTTCTGCCTACTGCAAAACAGAAATAAAATCCTGATAAAATGTCAAGTTCAGGTTGCAATTCAGCCCTTTCCTCCTACCTTTTAAAATCAATAGACTTGTGTTAATCTTTTCTAAGTCTTGTAAATTAGAGACACTTGTTCCATATATTTATAACAATTCCTTCAGGCCTGATAATAATTGATTCCCATCTTGCCAATTTCAGTTCTTATAGTAGATCTTTAAATGTTTTTCCATTAATAGTATAATGGAGACCAACTTATTGTTTAACAATAAGTTTGAGGAAGAAATTAGGCATCTTAAAAGGCTATTATAAATAAACATAGATTCAAAATAGTATGCATTTATAGTGTACTAATTCTATATTCTCCAAGCTTCAACTGTTTCTGATATGCATTTTTCTTGCATATGTTATTACTCAACAGCTTTAATTTTATGTATAAGTGTTCAGAATTGTAGATAAATATTTAAATACTGTTTAGTGTTTTAGTATAATTTATTACTTTGGCACAGCTGTCTATATTTGCTTCCATCCTAAAAATACACATTATCTTTGTTTTGAATCATTTAATGCCATTCTTCAATGTAACTAGAGTATTTTAGAATAATCTGCACATTTTACTTTTACTTTCTATCATAACAAGAGTAGAAGTAAACAGTCTGTTAAAAACTTCCTCAACGATTTGTACTTAAAAAGCATTTTGTATAAAAAGACATCAATAATTAAAATCCTTTAATGAAATAATTTTACCAATAGAACATCACTTTATTTACTTAGAATGTTTTCTCTCCAGTCATCATTTGCTTAATTTCTGGTATTAATTTTTGGTTTGTAGTCACCTGCTTGAATTAAAGTGCCCTTGATCATTGGGCTACCTATTTAGATTTCTGTGCCAAAGTTTTTAGTGAAACAATTCCCAGCAGTTTTGATAGTAGATGTAAGTTTCATGAAATCACCTTATAATACTGATAACTTCCTAAATCTTGAAAGAGAGCAAAAATATACACTAGACTAAAATCCCAGTTTTCGTACATAACATGAAAATGCTTTTTTAATGATCAACATAAAATCTTGAGTTTCTGAACATTTTTTTTTTTTTTTACAAAATCAAATTCTTAAGTTAAATATTTAAGGGTATCTTTCTGCAAACTTGCGCACATTTAACACTTGTTGACTTAGCTGTTCTTCTCTCATAAAATGCATTCAATTTCTATCACCAACACTGACTGGAATTGGCTTTGCAGAAGGGAGGGAAACATTGTAAAACAGTATCTCACACTCGCAACTCCTAAAGCTGGCCCAAAAGGATACTGCACCAATAGTATGGAAAGCTGCTGAGAAATTTAGGAAGACAAGGATGGATGTACCACCTCATCTCAAACATTTCAAAGGTCAACTTCAAATATGACCAGTACTGTCCCACTGTTATACCTTATCCAGATCCAGATAATCCACTTTTTGCAGGGCCTTCTGAAACTGTATACCTACTACTTTCTCAAAATTTCCATAAAAAGGAAAGGTTGGATACTGGATGAAAATTATCTAGTAATGTATCATCTATCTTTTTTCTAACTCCTTGCTCAGTGTTGAACAGTTTGCTAAGTATTCCATTAATTCCTATGCTTTTGTTCCATTGTATATCACTTTTCTTGCATTTAGCAAGAATGCATTCATCTCCACATTATTACAAAGCATTCTATAATTCAAGCCTATTCATATGATAATGTTTTCTTTAAAAAGACACATGTAAAAAAACTCTTCCTTTTCACATTCATACTTTCAGTGACTTGCTGAAGAGCAAAAATAAATTTTATTATAACTTTCTAAATTTTACTCACTGTCACCTTTCATACCCTTCAGTCACACTTATGCTAGATACCTTTCCTGGAACATTAGATTTTATGTGACAACAGGAATTAACTAAATGAAACATACATTCATGCATACAAACATATATGCAAAATGTAAGAATATAACTTGTGTCCAGCTGGATTAGACTCCTCATTCATCTAGTCTGTTCTCACAGTGGCCAACCAACTGTTCAAGGAAGTGCACTAGTTTCTCAACAGGCTGCTTTACTCTAATCACAAGAACAAACGTGTAGTGAGCAGATAATTAATAAAAAATTTTTTTGCATGCCTGGAATATATTCAATCTCTTTTCCCTGTTCTATTAATCTATTAAACTCTACAAATATGTAATTCTCTGAAGAAAATGATAGAACTTATATATTTTTGATTGTGTGCAATAATTACATTCTTTTCTGCCTCCTTTGTAAGGTTAAAGCAACGGAGTTTTATGTAAGACATGGATAGATGCAAACATGTTGGGCGGCTAAGACTTGCCCAGGATCATTCCATTCTGAACCCCCAGAAATGGTACTGCATGGACTGTAACACCACGGAATCCATTTGGGCTTGCCTAAAATGTTCCCATGTGGCATGTGGAAGATATATTGAGGACCATGCACTTAAACACTTTGAAGAGACCAGACATCCTTTGGCTATGGAAATAAACGATCTGTATGTATTTTGCTATCTTTGTGAAGACTATGTATTGAATGATAATCCCGAGGGTGACCTGAAATTACTGAGGAGTTCTTTATCTGCAGTTAAAAGTCAAAAGCATGATCCTTCTGCTAGAAGTAGTAGGACATTGCGGTCAATGGCTTTGGGAGAGGATGTTTGCAACCATCAAAGAGCCCCTCAGGGACAACCTCAGATGCTTACAGCTCTCTGGTATAGACGGCAATCGTTGCTTGCAAAAGCATTGCGAACATGGTTTGATAAAAGTTCTAGAGGCCAACGAAAATTAGAACAAAAAAAGCAAATGGAAGAACTGGAGAGGAAAAAGGAAGTGGCCAGGCAGCGACGTCAAGAGATGAAACGGAGATTGTTAGAGGAGCTGGCAAACACTCCTCCAAGAAAAAGTGCCAGGCTTTTATCGCACATTCACAGAGAGAACCTGATTCCTCGGAAGTTCAGAGATATGGAAGCTAGTTCCCCTACCTCAAGACAAGTGCAGAGTAGCAAATTCAAACAATTCTATTCCATCCGGCGTAAACCTCTTATGACTCCTGGTGTGACTGGACTAAAGAATTTAGGAAATACATGCTACATGAACTCTATCCTTCAAGTATTAAGTCACCTCCAGAAATTTAGAGAATGTTTCCTGACGTTGGATCTTTGTGAAACTGAAGAACTCTTAGCTAAGACTGTAATTGGAAAATCTAGAATATCTGGAAAGCTAGTCACTGGATCTACTCCAACAGAGTCAGGCAGAAATGATCAACTGGGTTCATTTGGCAGGCAAAGCCTGTCTGTTGGTTTAAATGGTGGGTCCTCAATAAGCAAAAGTTTAGAACTAATACAGCCCAAGGAACCAAGTTCAAAGCACATCTCTCTCTGTCATGAACTGCACACACTCTTCAGAGTTATGTGGTCTGGGAAATGGGCTTCAGTGTCTCCTTTTGCCATGCTACACTCTGTATGGAGTTTGATTCCAGCATTTCGAGGTTATGATCAGCAAGATGCTCAGGAATTTCTTTGTGAATTGTTGGACAAAGTGCAGCAAGAGCTGGAATCAGAAGGAACAAAACGCAGGATCCTCATCCCTTTTCCACAAAGGAAGCTCACCAAGCAGGTCCTGAAAGTGGTGAACACCATTTTTCATGGGCAGCTACTCAGTCAGGTATGCATGTTATCTGATCCTTTGCCCAGCCAGAAATACTCATTTACATACATAGAAAAAGAATGTTATTTTTTTAATGCGGTATGATTGTTGCATGATTCTTTTTCTCTAGTTGTAGCCAAAAGTGAGCTTTTAAAATTTAGCAGACAATTCTGTGTGTGTTTATGGACTGACATGATTCTTCCTCTTCAGATTCTTGCTTCTATTAAGGTTGTTTTATGACCAGTATACAGTAGTGGCCAAAATTGTAGAAACCTTTTGGGAAAAGTGTATTTTTGAGGTTTGATGGCTAATAACACCATTTTTTTTTTTTTGGGGAGTTTCAAAATAATCATATTTCACTGCTGGAATGGCCTGAGAATAGCCCAGACCTTAACCCAATTGAAAATCTATGGAGCCAACTAAAGAAACTTGTTAGTCAGAAGCGACTCAGCAATAAAACCCAGTTAATAGAAGCAATCATTCAATCTTGGTTTCACATTATAACAGCTGCAGAACTAAAAAACTTGGTTCACTTTATGGGAAGATGTTGTAAGGCCGTAATTCAGGCTAAAGGTTACCCAACTAAGTATTAAGTGTCGTGATAATTTTTGTATATCTCGTTTTTTCTACGTTTCACTTTTCTTCTTTATACTGTAACTGCTATTCTAATAGCAAAATCGGTTTAATTATTTTAAATTATTTTTATTTCTTTTCTTTTTTTTAATTTGATTTATATGCCGCCCTTCTCCGAAGACTCAGGGCGGCTTACAATGTGCTCAGCAATTTTACGTTATATGTATGTTATTCTGACTGTTCACTGCCCTGAGTCCTTCGGGAGAAGGGCAGTATCAAAATTAAATAAATAAATAAATAAATAAATAGCAAATCCTTCATAAAAGTTATTGCATTACATTCTTGATTAAATTATCTTTCCATTGATATATAATTTTATGGTACTACTCCAAAACAAAGTGGTGGTGTTAGCTAGTTTTAGAAAATACACTTTCCCCAAAAGGTTTCCACAATTTTGACCACTACTGTAGGTGGGACTGTTGTTTCTTCTTTCCTTGAATATTCACCCTTGTATATTCTGACATGTCTTTTATAAACTTTATCATTTCTTCAAAAGCATATTTGATTGAGTGAGACTGGTTTTACATTTTAAGCCATAAAGAAGTTTTGCCAAAACAATAATATTTTCTTAAAATAGCATTTAATACTTTGTTTGTTTCGCTTTCGTATTCTATAAATATGAACTTATTCTTGTGTCACTGTGATCCTTGGCATTATGCTAAGTGAGCTTCAGTCTTGCAAACTCTGTTACCTTTCACAATCTCTGATTTCTTAATGTTTTTATTCATGCTATCTATAGTAGACCACCACTTTTCCTAATGCTGGGACTGTGGGTGAGGGTTATAATGAGGGCTTGCTCAGAGCTGAAGCTCATATACTGACAAATCATTATTTTTTTACATAGAGTGTGGCAACTGGTCTCCTAATTTGATAAACCTAGCAAATTGAATAACATTTATTAATTTAATTCAATTCAATTCAACATGTTTTCTTTCTTTAACCTGTTTTGTATCACTGACTGTTGTGAGAGAGATATATTGACATTTCAGCAGTGCAATATTTTGGTGATTCCAGGGATCTGGAATTAAGCATTTTATTCCAGCTTAATAGTCAAATTGTTGGATTTTTTTAAAGCAACATTTTAAAATTAACATTTGATTAATAGAATAGAATTCTTTATTGGCCAGTGTGATTGGACACACAAGGAATTTGTCTTTGGTGCATATGCTCTCGGTGCACATAAAAAGACAAGATACACTTGTCAAGAATCACAGGGCACAACACCCAGTGACAGCCATACGGTACAATAAGCAATCAAATCATACTAGGAAACAATATCAATATAAATCGCAAGGATACAAGCAACAAAGTTACAGTCATGCAGTCACAAGTGGGAGGAGATGGACGACAGGAACGATAAGAAGACCAATAGCAATAATAACGCAGCCTAATGTGAACAGTTTGACAGTGTTGAAGGAATTATTTGTTTAATAGAGTGATGGCGTTCGGGGAAAAACTTCCTGTATCTAGTTGTCTTGGTGTGCAGTGCTCTATAGCTTTATGCTAATTTTATATAACTTTATGCTAATAGAATAGTCTTTGTATTAGACACAGAATCCAATAGAGTAAAACTGATTATTATACTAGTGAGTTGTAGGAAGGTAGTAAAATCACACGATGCTTTTTTTGAAGATGATTCTTTTTATCTGAGAATTTTAAAACAAAATATCCTATGGTTACAGATTTGTGTCATTTCAGACTGGAAAATAAGCCCACAAGAATCACAATTTTTGTCTCTATTGGAATGTTCTGATATTCTTTTTTTCCTTGACAGGTCACTTGTATAACGTGTAATTATAAATCCAATACTGTGGAACCCTTTTGGGATCTTTCCCTGGAATTTCCAGAACGTTATCATTCTATCAATAAAGGGATTGTGCCTCTTAATCAGACTGAGTGCATGCTGACTGAAATGTTGGCCAAATTCACAGAAACAGAAGCTTTGGAAGGGAGAATTTATGCATGTGACCAGTGTAACAGTAAGAAAAATCTGTTTTGTTATGTGTTCTCCTTGAATCTATTGAGAAATGTCCCTGTATGTTTTTATAATTATAAAGCTCAGGTTTTTCCCAAGAAGGTGTTTCCAGATGTATTGCATGTGAAATCATGGAATTTCCAGTCAATGCAGTTATATGTCCTGCTGGATGGAAATTTAGCTAGATAATGCCAGATAAGTAAAGCTGGTATAGTTTCTCTTTCATTATTTTTAAATTGCTTTGAAAGAGTTCAGGAAAGTTATTAATAATGATGTTTACATAATATCAGCAATTAAAATTGATAATAGATTGTAAAAAGATTTACTCCCGTATAGATCTGTCAACAGATCGCAGTGTCTTGTATCTATCTTTCCCAGAACAAAGCAAAGAAAACAAATTTATCATTCTGGCAGATTGCTGAGATGTCTAATAGATATGCTGGAGATACAAGAAAACAACATTTCTTGAAAGAGACTGCCTTCTCTCAATGGATAGAAATAGTTGTTTTGGAACACAATTGCACATATTATAATCCCTTAAAAAGGAATGGGTGGATGAGGTCCCAAAATTACATGGAGTCATTAAGCTTTTGTTTTGGGATTTCCAGAATTTTTTTCCAATCACTATTGTCAGAAACCAGAGATACTGTTTATTGCCATTTTTAGGAGGCAACCAAAGCTGTATGTTATAAGGCATAAATAAAGCAAATTAAAAATCCTAAATTCCCATCCTATAAAGAAAGGAAAGAAAATCAGAAAAATGTCAGACTGTCCAAAAAGAATATATGCATGATCTTACCCACTTTGCTTCACTGATCAACAATTATAATCTTGCTCCCTTAAAAAATGTACAATGGCCCTGGTCATTAAAACATTGCCCAACCTTGTCCTGCAACTCTGGTAATTGTCCCTAGAAACCTTCCAGATGTTGCAATCAAATTATACTTTTTAAGAGCTAGGAGAAATAATTAAATACTTCGGTGGAATAATTATGTTGCATTATAATTTAATCTTTTCCACCATAGTTCTTTGTCTGGAACCCATCCAGTTTTTGGAATTCAATCACTGACATACAACTAAAGCCCATATCTAGTCAATGGCCTAGATAAAGTTGTGTACCCCAGTTTTATAATTTTTTACCTTCAAAAAAATTAAAGGAATAGCATATGGGGAGAAAGCAATACAGGCATTCCTTGAGTTATGATGACAGTTGGAAGCAGAACGTCCATCTGTAAGTGATATCATTATAAAGTGTGATGTCACATGACTACATCACTTAGTGATGGCATTTCTGGCAATCCTGATTACTGTCATAGCCCCAGTAGCATGTTTCATTAAGTAGGAAGAAGCAGACGTCCCAGGCAAGGATAATAGGATGTGTGTGGGTGGCATAGAGGTGGTGGTGAGTGCCATAGGCAGGCCCTATGAAGTGTGGGTGAGTGGTGGGGGTCACAGATGTGTTATCAGAAGCCATGGGCAGGCACTAAGGGGTGGGTGCTGTGGGGGATGCTGCCAGGGAGTCACACTACAAAGCAAGGGGTGCTGCTAGTGGGCATGTACTACAGAGAACAGGTAGGGGGGTGCTTCAGAGTATGGGATTCCTGGGGACTTCATAGTGAGGCTCCTCAGGAGTAAAAGCAGCAGAAGGGACTTGTGATCTTCCCTGCCAACTTCCACATTGACTCTGCTGGTGGGAAGCTGGCAAGGAAGATTGCAAATGGCAACCATGGAAAGTTGCAATGGTCATAACTTTGAGGACTAATCATAAGTACTATTTGTTCAGTGCCACTTTAATTATGAATGGTCTCTGAACCAAGTGGTCATAAGTTGAGGACTATCTGTAATGGTTGAAGGAGAATTCTCTTTTTATAACTCTTTTGCTAATTCCTTCATGAAATGAGAACCGAATTGGTTTTGAAATCCATAACTAGTCCATGTATAGCTAAAGAAATTGGGCTACAGTTCCATATTTCAAAAGAGAGCAACATGCTCAAGGCCTCATATCACTTGAGCACCTTCTTTGTGGTCCTTGGAATTTCCTTGATGAAAATATATAGTAATATTCCCACTATTTTTATGTGGGAAACTGAAATCATAGCCATAAAAATAGACATATTACAGTTTTAAAAAGCAACTCCCCAAACCACCAAAACTAAAAAAATTAAAAGAGGTATAAGCAGAAATTCCAGGAATATTTATCCTTCCCGCCTTTATTATTTAGATTATGGCTTGCTTTATTTCTACTATCCAAGTTTAAAATAAAAAATTTTTAAAAATTAAAAAGAAAAAGAAAAAGATTATGGCTTGCTAAAAATGGTGTCTCCATTTTCAGCAAGCCGTAATCTTGAATCTAAATTCAAGACAGTATCTCAGTTTGTTGGGTACAACTTTTATATTGGAAGATGGAAGCCTTTAACGCATGACATTTTGTGTTCTTTCTTAAATGTGACATAGGCAAACGACGGAAGTCTTCTCCCAAACCTCTTGTTCTAAGTGAAGCTAAAAAGCAGTTAATGATCTACAGACTACCTCAGGTCCTCCGGCTGCACCTTAAACGATTCAGGTGAATAGAAGAGGGTAGAAATGTGGAGTCATTTTTGTATCTGAAATGGCAGTATAGTTATTACTATTTTATTTCTGGAGTACTAAATATAACACTTATATGTCATATTATTTTTAAAGAGATTTGGAAGAAAGTTTTACATTCCTTTTTTATTTTTCTGAAAGAAATGTTACAGAGCATAAAGGAAGTAGCTACCTGTAAAAATGTGATGTACATAGTCAAATATTAGTATACTTTGCAGTTGAGCAGTTCTGAAAAAAAGCCTGTTATATTCTTTCTTCATGTATATTCACTTTTGTAAAGAGAGTTCTCAAGTTTAAACGTTTGCTATATTTGCAAAAATTGTTGATTCCTCTTCTAATTACTGTGTAAAGATTAAAATTATTGTTTTATAGAATTCTTTTAAGTTGTTATTTAAGGGAAGACTTTTCAAAACTTGACATTAAAATCTACTAGGGTCAACCTAAAGTATAGAAATAATAGAAAATGTTTTAGCCATTTGCCTAGGAATACCGCTGCCAGTGGAGTCTGTCTATATACATAGCAGTTGAAAATGCTTGTAATATAATTGCAGCTCTGTATGTTTCAAGTGAAACATTATTTGGGAAGCAACTCATAATAGCACTGCTGTTTCTTTTGTGGAAGCTGATGTTTGTCAAACAGGAGACTCCCAAAGCAGATTGCAATGAATTGCATAATTACATAATTAATAAAATTTGAAAAAACATTCATCAGCATGATGTATCTTTTAATGACCAGTTTACAGTAAAGGAAAAGTTACTTCTGGCCTTTGAAAGTTTTATATTTATATAATTTTTAAAAATAATTCTGTTGCTTCCATTTCTTTGAAGATTCTGAAAAGTTTCTTTACTTTCTTTACAACATTTCTGTGTTTTGATTCAGCCATAGTAGAAAAAGTTTGTTGTAGTATTAACTTGTAGTAATGAGAGTTCTTTTGTAGAGCTGATCGATAGTGACTAGACACTATGCTATTGTTCTATACATCAGAGGTTTCTAACAGAAAAAGAAACATCCTTCCTTCCAGGAAGTATATTTCAATATCTACATTTGTTGTGAGTCATGTTGAGTTATTGCCATAAAGTTTAGACAGGGATGCATTTTATCATCTTTTTGTTCAATTTGTATGCTGAAGTGATCATGCGGAAATTAGATCTTGAACTACCTGATGTTGGAGTGTAGATTGGGGAAAGAACCATAAATAATTTGAGGTATGCAGATGATACAACATTATTGGCTGAAAATAAGGAAGACCTGGAAAAAGTGATCTGGAAAATTAAGGACGAAAGTGAAAAAGTGGGATCGAGTCTTAACATCAGGAAAACAAAGTTAATGACAACAGCTGCAGATGGACATGAGACATTCAAAATCAACAAGGAGGAAATTGAATTAGTTCAAGAATTTATCTTCCTTGGATCCAAAATTGTTCACAGTGGCAGTTCTACTCCTGAAATCAAGTGCAGGATAACCGTAGGCCGCACTGCAATGGTTAACATGAATAAGTTCTGGAAAAACAGAGATATTGATATAATTACAACAAGCAGGCTAGTTAGAGCAAACATTTTCTCTATAATGATGTATGGTTGTGAGAGTTGGACACTAAGAATTGGCTGATCAAAGAAGAATTTATGCCTTTGAACTGTGATGCTAGCATAAATTTTTGCGTATGCCATACCATGGATAGCCAGAGTAATTAACAGAGAGATGCTAATCGTATAAAACCAGACACATCACTAGAAGCTAAAATCATAAAACTCTGTCTGATTTACTTTGGCTCTGTCATACATGCAAATTCATCGGAGAAGGCAATGATGCTAGGAATGGTTAGTGGAGCAAGCAAAGAACAAACTGGCTTGATAACATCAAATCTGATACAAAGTTCAACTTGCAACAATTGAAAGAAGCCTTTGCTTCACAGAGTAGAATGGAGAGCACTTCCTATAAAGTTGCCAAGAGTAGGACATGACTGAATGGTTAAAACAACAACAAATTTGTTATATCTGGCAGCATAATCAGTATTGGTAGTTTCCCAGGACATTAAGAATCTTAGCCCTAGCATAAATACATTTTATCTTAATAATTATCTATTTCAGAAAAGGATTTGGTAAATAAAAGCAGAATAGTTTTTCAAATGTTATATCAGAGAAGTTAGGTAATAACAATGTTTTAAAAAAACATATTAAGTGAATGTCAATTAAATTTGGAAAAAATTAGTTGAAAATATATACAATAATGACAATAATTAGTATATTAATTTTTTTCAAAGATGTTGTATCAGATTCTTTTTCATTTTAAAAGTCCTTTTGATTAAATGTTTTCAAATTGCAGGTGGTCTGGACGTAATCACCGTGAGAAGATTGGGGTCCATGTCCTCTTTGACCAGGTATTAAACATGGAACCTTACTGCTGCAGGGATACTTTCTCCTCTCTTGACAAAGAGACCTTTGTCTATGACCTCTCGGCTGTGGTGATGCATCACGGGAAAGGGTTTGGCTCAGGACATTACACGGCATATTGCTACAACACAGAGGGAGGTGCGTGAGCCTTATTACAGGGGAAAAAATTAATTCATCTTATAAATTTATCTCTTCCATAAGAAACATACTTGTTTTGTGTGAGTTTATATTGCTCAGCTTTCACTGTGCACTAATAACATTAGAATAAAAAAATCTATTAGGTTTCTGTAGCTTAAACACAATGAGGAGAAACTTTATTGCTTGTTTTTTTAAAAAAAGAGGTTACTTTCTCTCTTTCTCAGGCTCGCATTTTATTTGCTTGTGTGTGCATGTGAGACAGAATCACAGCAATTGATGTTTCCACTACTTAAGCTGAAAAACAAACTTTTAAGAAATCTGCTATGAAGAATTTAATTGCTTTGTCTCCAATCAGTTATTGCATTTCTTTATAAAATCTTTGTATTACATTTTTCCAACCTTCTGTAGAAAGAATTAGAGTTATTTTTTCTCTTAACTATCATTCAGAAATATCAGTGAAACAGAAAAACTGAGATCAAGAGAATCTTTTTAAGGCACAATCAGAATTTCAAACCTCTTGGGCTTATGGAATTGATTGCATTATTCTTTAGATGTCTTTCTCCAATGACTATTTAAAAAGAATTTGTTGGACCACAATCTTGCCATTAATATTCTATGTTTTTCTCTCGTTTTTAGGGTTTTGGGTCCACTGCAATGACTCCAAACTGAATGTATGTAGCGTGGAGGAGGTATGCAAAACCCAAGCATACATTCTTTTTTATACACAAAGAACTATACAGGGCAGAGCAAGTATCTCAGAAACACAACTTCAAGCTCAGGTGCTGTCTAAACACAATGTTAGAAGACTGACACTCCCCTGAAAGGAGACATTATTCTCAATCAACTGATTCTTTTTCAAAAGCCTTTGGAATTAATTCAGCTAGGCAGGAACAAATACTGTTGCAAGAATTTTGGATCCACTGTCTGGAAAATTTGTCCTCCTACCATGTGCAACTGTGTTCTATAAGATTGTAGCAGAACATCTATTTTTTTTAAAAGGCAGATGCATTTGTAAACCCTTCCTCCTCCAAACAAAGAGTAACAGCCTCCAATGTGTACGACCATTTATCTTCTTTCAAAGAGGAATTGCTATGTGATATGAAAAAGTAGGTACATTCAAAACTTCTGTGTACAGCCAGGATACAAAGCCATTAAACTGACCATAAATCTATACATAACTTAAGAAAATAAATGAATAGTAGAATTCTATCTCTGTTCTGTTGATGTGGTGATCTGTTGTTGCACCTCTTGGTGTAAATAACTCACCAATATCATACATTGTTCTTTCCAACCAACATAATTTATGTAGATAGGATTGTACTATACAAAAACTCTTAAATGATTTTTCTAAACTGGGAAAATATGCTCATTGGTTCTTGTTTATATCTTTCGGGTAACAAAACAAATGTTTGTACCCTACAATTACCCCAATCTGTTAGAATGAACAAAAGTGGAAATTATATACACATCTGAGTAATTGTTGCATATTTCAATTTGAACCTGTGCTAAAAATTACAAGTACTGTTTTTCTTCCCCAACTAATCTTATTCTTAGCTGCTAACAAGACAGCTATGTAAACTGAATTTGCAACCTTTCTTGTGTATTTATAATAGTTAATATGGGATACATTACTTTCAAGACTTTCATCATCTACTGTTTTATGATGAGTACTGCATGAATAGGTCTTATGAATCCATTCAGGTTCACAGTGACGCTTAGGTTTTTACTATTACTGACACATTGTTCAACAAACACAGATTTTTAAAAAATCAATTCTTACCCTAAATGCATAAAACTTCTGCATATACAAGAAAAAATGGTCAGGAATATAGTAGCCATTACACAGAGTTACAAGATCATTTCACCCTAATAATCTCCTTTTCATGACCATTTTTCCATTCAGTTTTCCCTTTGTTGTGTTTTTGGGAAGTCTCAAAGAGGTTTATTTTGGAGTCTTATGGTGAAAGGGATTGCACCTAAATTGTGCACCTATATTTTCTTTTCCCCCAGTTGCTGTTCTTGCTATCTCAGAGACATATACAGCTCTGGAAACAGTACAAAATCTAGTATACTGTATACCATGTCATGTAGACTTTAAATTGGATGAATAACATCCAATTTATCATGGTTACTTTTAACTGTTAACCTTTCATGATTATCACTAGATCTCATTGCAGCTAAGCAACTTGCTGCCTTTCAGTTAAGAAATACTGATGTACAGCATACAAATCCCATGTTATTCATTTAAGATACATGAAGTGTCAAGCTGGAGGTCTTTAAAAACAAAAATGGACATGGTTCTGGCACATGCAGTGTTTTTATGTGCTTTCCTGTGGTAATTCTGAATTGGTATTTTAAATCCATCAGCAAATTCCTGGTGAAATTGAATCACAAAATAATTTTAAAAAACCTACCGACTTGTTTCTTCTCATCCTGCTAGGGAACTATATTGGAAGTGCATGGAATTATTATATGCAGTATTAGTCTTGACCCTATGATTCACTTTCTGATTGTATCAAATTAGTCTCCAGTCAGACAGATAGGAATACTCAGAGGCCAGATGTGACTTATAAAACAACATAATTGCCATTCCAGAAAGTTTTCTTTTAGCAGAAGCATTCTTGATAATAAATTCACAATTCAACTACTGTAATTATTAAGAGACATTTAATATAACTTGAATCAAGGAGCAGACCTTTTTTGGTAGAATTGACTTTGAAAGGTGAATTAGTGTAAAAATCAGCACAATGATTTTTACAGCATGAAAAGCTTTTTAAGGATTATCTCCAGGAAAGATATTTGGGGCTGACGTGCAGGCCTCAATTATTTTGCTTCAATATTATCATTATTTCAGATTATTCCTCTATTCAAGAATCTCAAAACAAAAATGAAAAGTGGACATTTTTATAAATCAAGATCTTTCAGCCACTGCCATTTGCATTTTCCAATTTTTTTCTCCCATTATTTGTTTTCTTACTGTCTTCCTCATTGAGTGCCATAAAATATCTTGCTCCCCCAACTCCACCACACCCCAATAATTCAAAACATGACCAAGAATATCTTGCATGTAACATTCCAGTTGTTTCTACTCTCATAAAGAAAAAAAATGCTGCCTGGCTAGACAATTTTGAGAGGGTCCTCAGTGGCTCTAATTCATGGATTCTATGAGAGATTTGAGTTCTTGAGATCTCTTATGTACCCATCATCTTCTTTCTTGTCCTTGCGGTCAGTGGCTGATGTAGAATTTATCATTGTGAGGTATTCAGAACTGTAGAAACCTCAAAGGTTCCCGCCCTCTAGAAAAAGTAAAAATAGATTGATCAAAAGCTGGCACAGCTTCCATTAATACTGTTTGAGTATTACATCCATATTTGAGTAAATAGGAATATCTGACACTTATAGGAGATATATGGGGAAGATAATAGAGAGGTGGATGTATTAATAGCCATGAATGTTTTACATTTCCCAAGATTTGAAAAGTCGTAGTCTCTTATGTGAGTAATAGTGCCATGGGATATAAAAATGTGCAATTAAAAGTTATCTTGAGAGATGGAAGTAACTTACTTTTGAATTGAGCTTGCTGTTCCCAACACTGTGAGGTTTCTGTAATATTAGCTTTTATTTGGAAGCGATAGTGTATAGCATTTTATGCTGTTTCTTTTATATCTGCTGCAAGCAGTGTTCTTGCTATTCTTTGTACACTGTTTTAAAGTGTCCTGATTGGCAGAAAATGAAATAATTGATAATTCTATCTATTGCCATTATAATCGAAGCCTAACAGAATAATAAATGATACCATGTCTTCCCTTATTATTTTTTTCTAGCCACATTCAATTCCTTTCTTTGCATATATATTAATTGCAGGGCTGACAGGATCAACCAGTCCTGATTTGAAAATATTTATCATAGAGTAAATGATTCATTCACACAAAACATAGTGTACCAGCAAAAATATGACTCAAAGTATATACGTACCTGTTAAACCATGATAAGTAGTTTAGTCATGCTAAGAGTTACATGGTCCTAAGAATGCTAACTAGGGAGCAAGCCCATAACCTTGAGTAACTTACTTCTGCATAAACATCTTTGGGAAACAACTTTTAAATTTACCTACAAAAGTAAGCTGGCTACATTTAAAACTTAATCAGCTAATTCTGTGCCTATTGCTAAAACTAGTGATGAAAAATAAAGTTGAGTGAACCAATTCAGGACATAATTTTTTTAAAGGACTATCAAATCAGATATAAATCAGATTTTATTAATTTGATACACCTGTATCTCTAAAATTTGCAGAAAAATAAACAGCTCCTAATAAAAAATAAATGTATAGGAAGAAGGAAAAGAAAATAATGGCTATTTTTCCTATTAGATAACAATGGAAAATATTACCAACTTTATCAAGCAAATTAATTAGGACAATATCCTAGCATATTTCTTCATTGCATAAAGCTGAACTATGGAGATCTTTTTTTATTGCTGTTGCTTTTGAATGAGCTGTTTTCATTTACTTCAGGGAAAGTTTCTACACACAGAAATTAAAATGCACAAGTAAATGTTGTATGGATTCATAAGGAGATGCTAAGAAAAAAGCATGTCTCCTTATATATACAATCTCTGATTGTAAAATTCCATATTTTATGAATGTTATATCTAAGGAAAGAAAGTGAACAAATTAATTTTGAAATAACAATCCCCAGCACAAATTGCAGCCACATCCAACAGTATTGCTATTATGTTTATGGATTGAGTGAAAGTTGGGTATAGGATTAATTTTCCCTCCTGATAAAACTTTATGAACAATTTTTTAAAGTTTAAAATGGTGCCTTGTACCTAACTATATTTTGCATGGGACACAAGTTTTTAGTTTCTTCACTCCCAGATCTGAGTCTTTACAATACTTAGGTAGCAGGTTTGGGTTTTTTAAAAACATTTCTTATCTGTATGTGAATGGAAAAATATTTCCTACCAGCAACTTGATGTATTTTATTGTATATGTCTAAATACTGTATTTCTAATGATGCAAATGGTTTGCTCAAAAGTAGATCATTTTGGATTTTGTGTTAAATCTTTGTCGGTGATTTTTTTTTAGATAGAATTATTCCTCTTCAAGTAATTCATAATTAAAACACAAATGGTAAGAATGCCTAGAGCATCTTATTGACAAAGCAGTTTGAAAAAGGCTCTTAAACTACTGACTGGTGCCTTGCATGATAATGGTTCTCTTTTGCCATGATGTTCTTTCTCTTACTTCTGTTAAAGATGACAATGACTTAACATATCTTCATGCAGATAATATTTCAATAGAATGAATCAGGCATATATATGTTTCAGTATAAAAAAGATTAACAGATCAATCATATACTGAATACTTTTTCATGAAATTAGACCTGACATCTAGTTGTCTAATAATTAAAAATGCATTCTTGAATACAATACTTTGAATAAGATTATTCCTGGTTACTATTGCATAGGTGTAATATGCCTCTTTTGAGTTGTAACACTTCTCAATACGGTCAAGACTTCCGGATTATTTGTACTGCAGAGCATGCAATGCTGATGCAGGCTGAATTGTGCTCTTCAAATTCACTTTAAATGGGATTGTAAATGGAGATGTTAAATACACTACCAAGTGTTAAAATATTTCATTTGAACAGAAAGGTTTGGATATATGCATGCATTATCAGTTGAATCTAAAAATTCACATCTCAATTGCCACTATTTCTTAGTAAAATAAGAATGGCCTCTTCTATATATTCAGCCCATCAGTAAGACAAAAGAATGTTATTACATCAATACATTTAATAGTAAAATTACACTATTGTGGATGCTATGTAATATCCTAATACATAGTGTCTTGTAAAATTCCTTCCAAATCCAATACAGCATATATTGAAATGATTGGAACTGAACACAAACTTGTTCCTAGTGCTGCTATAATACCACATTTAAGGAAAATCAATTTGATTACTTAGGAATCCAGCAAAATATAAGATGAATAGTGATCTTAGTAAAATGTTTACCACCACTTAGGAAATCCCAATACATAT